ATTATTATTATTATTATTATTATTATGTACAGTAAGATCTATATAGATCTAGATTGTATAATTGTATAATAAAATTGTAAAAAGCTAGAACTAAATAAATAGTCACTTTTTAACACGACAGAAAGTAATTCGTTCAGCTGCTGACAGCGACTTTATGGTTTTGGATTATAGGTTTCACCAACATTTGATTTATCATAATTGTAGCATCAGTGTGAGTCTAAATAATCAAATGATAAAAACTAACATTATTCGAAATATAAACGTTACGTAACATAACATCCACGCGTCCTGAATCATAAAGTCGCTGTTACGACGCGTCCGCGTTTTTGCTATTTTTCAAGAGAACTATTGGGTTGCGGCCTATGGTTCCTTGGAGATGAAGAAAAAAAAGTATCGAGTGTTTCAAACTGTTCCTTGCTTGCAACAGCAAAAGATGAGAAACCTTATGGCAGGGGTGACCAAACTTTTGTATTGCCCTACGTGCCAATTTTTTCTCAAGTAAGTGTGCTTCAAGTGTGCCACTAAATTATTATTTTACAAACATAGTAAACATAGAAAAATATGAAATAACACTGCAATAAATAATGATAATGATAATATCTCACTCTAGTACTCCAATATTATCTTACTCTAATAACACTTACTCTAATAATGATAATATTTTACTCTCTCTTGTTCTAAATAACCTGCTCTATGCGCCACTAGAAATTATAAAATGCGCCACGGTTGGCCACCCCTGCCTTACGGGTTTCCTACGTGATGGAAGACCGAAGCAAAAAGAAACTCAAAGTGGCTGATTGAGCAAGAACGAAACAGAGCAGAAAAAAGAAGCTGAACCGAAAGAACGGAAGGAAAGAAAGACGGAAGTAGATAGGCAAGTAGTATCCGGTATCGGACTTTGGCTTCGGCAACCTGTTGACCCACTAGCCACTGATAGAAAATATATGTACAGGGTAAATAGAAAGAATGGTTCTTAACTTCTAGGATAGATAGTACTCGTCGAAAAAAAAGTAACAAACAAATGGATGGAAAAATTAATAGTGATCTTTTGGTGCCTGTGAAAAAGTTTAGAACACATCCGGGAATCCTTGAACGAGTACTTGATTCTTTACGTGTCACAAAGGTGTCAAGCAAACGTAGAAATGGAAGGAGGACACGTAGAAAACCTCGTGTAATCAGAAAAATAAGAAATTATAAGGTAAACCGCTACTTACGTACAGTGTAATAGCTCTTGAAGCGAAGAAATTCTTCAACCGAAACAAAAAATAACCTTGAAACTATCAACTCTTTAACCCATGTTTCGACGAGTACTGCCTATCCTAGAAGTTAAGAACCATTTTTTCTATTCGCCCTGTATATACATGTACCTACATGTATATACATGTATATGTGTGTATATCATAGCAGTTTGTCGACGATTCGTTCTTCCCCTGAAATCCCTTGTTTACGTAACATTCTTTTTAAGGCACCATCGTTTGAGACCGTATCTTTTTCACAAAGTATGTTATCGCTATCGTAGTCTTGCCAAACACGAGACGCATTATCGTTTATGGAAAGTTTCGAGTGATTAATACCAAGTTGGAACGAAAGAATTTATACTTCGAAGGCCCTTTTTTTTAGTTATCGTTTTATCGTTGGCTTTGAGGTTATGACTGCGAGGAACAAAGACTCGTGAAAGGTTCTAAATCCTTTTAAGGTGTATAAAAATTGGAATAATCGAATAAGAATAATTTTAACTATGGATAACTTTTTAAATTTAATGTTAGAGTGATTAATTACGAATAATTTCCAAGAGCCAATAACGAAATATTTTTTATTTTAGATGGTTGGTATATCTGCTACTCCACTCTCGGTTGATATCAATATGTTGCCAGCGAATATGCAAATGGAATGTATTGAATTGCAATCAGATACGCAACTCAAAGGAATATTTATCCAAGTGTCTTTGTTAGACTTTTATAAACTACACCTACCTAAAGAAAGATATTCAACACTTAACGAACATGCGCTGTTCGTGATGTTCTTTTTGAGAACTTACATTAGGTGTACTCATAGTAATGTTTTTTGACACTAAATTTGATACTAAGTGTTTTTGATAGAAAATTTTATTGTACCTACGAGTTAATACAGTTTCTATAATATAATTTAACAATAAGCACGCAAATATACTTAATCAGAATATAGGTTATGTTATAATAAATTGAATCATTGTCATTAGATGGCAATTAAATTTGAAGAAAAAACACGACATTATTTATGAGTATCCCTAATATTTGCGAATAGATTTTTTTGCCATATGAAGCACACAGAAAATAAAATAAGAAGAAAATTTGAGCATTCTGAAGATACTCTTCGTATTACTATCTATATCAAACCAGATATTTATGAACTATCTAAAAAAAAAACGAGCTCGGTGTTCTCATTAAATATTTTTTAACTAATACAAACATATTTTTTTAAATCAATGTATTGTTTCGCTATAAAAATTGTCTTAACATTCTCATATAAATAATATAACTTACATTGAACTGATAAAAAAATATGTGCGGGCCCCCAATGAATTTTTGTTGGCCAATGAGGCCCGGAAGAGTTGAAAGGTTGGTTTAACCAATGATTCAAATTATTATAAAATAAAATGAAGGTATCCAACAAATTCAAAATACAATTTGAGCTTATTTTAAGGTGAAATGCAAGAAATTCACTGTTAACAACACATCCTGAAATTGCCACCCTATCAAAAAATCAAGTGGTCACCCACGGTCTAAATTTGTCAAAGAAGGAAGAAAAAGAAGACGATGGAATTAACGTCACTGATCACACGAGTTCGTGGCACATGTTTCGTATCCGGCAAGTTTGAGAGAAGATGCAACATACAGTTTTATAGATCACATGCAATTAAACGGAGAAACAACTGCAGCTAAACAATCGCGTAGATTGGCTACTTACAAGATCTTGAAAAGCCTTTGGATGAATCCAGAACCACTGATACTTCCAAAACATTCTACCATCACACAGTGTCTCACTTTTCTCCTTGAATCGAATTATTTGAAACTGCAGTTCTGTCGCGCATCGCGAACTGGGATTCGACACTAAAATTGCACGTCAGGGTTTATCGTTTGGTTCTTTTCCTCCCTTATTTCTTTATCGTTGACTTGCTACTTTTATTTCAATCCTTTTTCTATTCGACACGGTCGTAAACAAAAACGCAAAAGCTGGAAAAACTAACAATGAAGTGTAGGAGTGGATCTGAGTTTGGACGAAATCGTACTGATAACGCAACGTGCTTTCATCATCGCGAAAGCATTTACTTATCGGATGAAACGTTGTGTTATTCGGTGTGACATTTTTTGACGAAATACTACGATAAGCTACTAGATTATCTCGTTTCTCGATCCCTTTTTGATCACTCTCGTTTGTGCGACCAACTCGCGCGCAATGATGAACAGATGCACATACTTTCTAATCCTTCTTTCTAATTTGAATAACAATTGCGTGAGTAATCATCGATATCGTTGTCGTTGAACAGCGATCCACGCTTGTCTGATGTTGCGAATGGAATGATCCTGACGAAAGAAGAAGACAAATATTTCAATTTCTCTTCTTTCGTTAAGCTCGATTCTCAATGCGATTTTCGTCAGATCTTGGCTCCATAACTTTGAAGTTTAAGTACAACCTAATGTTTAGGGAGATATTTAGATCATCAACGTTCATGGAACATTAATGTTCTGTGCAGCTCTTTCATCCTTGAGACAAATTATCGTAAAATATCTTCTCAACCATAAATTTGGGATCAATGTGGCTTGATACTTTTTTACTTGGAATTTAATATTCTTCCGATTTATCAAGGTCCAATTAAAAAAAAAAATAAAGATGACTTTGCAAATTTCGAAATCCACAAAAAGATCGGTACGTCATATTTCGCCTTCCTTAAAACATTACCGTACATTTTTATTATTGAACAATTTTATTATTGAACATTTTTATTATTGAACAATTTTTCATTAGATTTCAGGTATGCAAGTTATATGAATGATTCCTGTATATTAAAAACTGCAGTTACTTTTTGGCCAACCAAATACATACATATATATTTATATTATATGCGAGTGGTAGGCGCATGTCGGAAATATAATCTTCTTACAGCAGGAAAAGCTGCTCGATGAACGGAAACCACGTAGCGACGTATCATTTTCTTCGATTTGGTTCGATGGTGAAACACGGAAAAGCAGGGAAAAATGCTCGTTTCTTGTAACCACAGGTTGGAAATATTGAACGCGTGGTACAAAATTGCACGTAACATCTTCCTATGGGCGTGTCGCGGAATATCGTGACTTCGAATTCCTCGGCAATTGACTCCTCGTTCCTCTCTTTTAAATCTTGCGTTTCACTTTCGATCTTTCGACCGAGGAAACTCCTCGAATGCGCAAATAAAATATTTTCTTTTTTTTCGCTAGAAACGAAGAGGGAATCTCCCCGATCTTTGCTGCCTGACAAGAAATAAATAAATTCTCAATATCTTCCCGGCCTCTTTCGAACGTATTCCACGTGCGTGTTTCATGAGAATCCACTCGTACGTGTACGTACAAGTGGCGTGATTGTCAAATAATATTCGTATTGATATTCGTGTCTCGCGTAGGAATCGATACGAGCTCGCTATGTAGCGGTGTCTCGTAATCATATGGCGACGAGAATCAACCGGAAACGACTCGTCAACCGGAACGAGGTTCTTTCACGACCCACTCGAGTTGCGGACAACACAACGTAACAGAGCACGATTCGAATAAATTCATCT